CTTGGATTTCAGCCAGGGTATGGGGGAGGAGTCCACTTCATACAGGAAGTGACTAAATTGGAGAATGCAGGGAACCTAGAATTGTTCATATAGTTGAAACACACGGGGGGAGGAGTAGGGAGAGGAAGAAGATGACGGGACCAAGAAAAGGATCACTTTGGACGTCATGTTAAAGGTTTTGAATTAAATATAATAAGTTGATTTTTGAATATGTTCCTGTCTAAAGTAATAAAAGGATCAGAAATGTATTTCTTATTCCTCCCACTAGGCTGTGAGCTGCTGGAATAAAGGGGAATATACTTTATATCTTCTTAAGCATCTAGAGCAGAGTTTAGTCTGAAAAAATCAGTAAAATTCAGCAAACATAGGTACTAGCAATCTGAAGATGAATATGACAAGGTTTCAATCTTTACAACTAGAAGAGGCAGAATTAGGAACAGATGAGTCCAATGTTATTAGAAAAATGATAGAGTTATTCACGGGATGCTTGGGAGCACGGAAGGGCACTAAATATTTATACTCAATAAATACTTGTGGCCTAACTGTGTGGGAGTGTTTGGAGATCTAAAGTTGGCATGAGATGTACAAATGCAGAGTATGATTCTGAAGAGGCCAGCTAGAGTCTGTTTATTTATGAGCGGCCCTGGCTCTGCCACTGATTATCTATGTGAAACTGAGCAAATAAACCTTCTTGGAATCTGTTTCTTTTGTTTTCAAAATTAAGAGTTGAATGACAATAATTTCTAAGTTCAGATTTTGATAAGTTCTAATTTTAAGCTGGGTGATTTCACGATTTCTCTGGTTCTAGATGACTTCTCTCACTGCCTTTCCCACTCTGGGCCCTAGAGCTGTATGGTGTGGCCCCTGAGAACCCCTCCAGCCTTCAGGGCAGGATGGGAGAACCTCAAGCCCCTCTCTGAGGAGCCAGAGGCAGGGCAGGGACCTCAGTAAGCTCTGTGCATGCGGTCAGCTTGCTCTCAGGCTGGTCAGTTGCAGAAGCACCTACCCGCCTCCGTGGGCCTATAGGCCACTCCAGTGTCCTCCCTTTGAGCCCCCAGACTCCTCACAGCCCCCTCAGACAGCTGAGCCACTTCTCCCACTCCCACCAGTTTCTAAGGGAAAGAGATTCTGTGCTATGTCTAATGTTATCTGGTCCCTTTTAAAAATGAGACTAGAATAGCCGCAACTCCTCCCTCCAAGGGAAACCCTCACCGCACTATTTTAATTGCATGATGAATTAAGCTCTGCTGAACTGCCTTCATAAATCAACTGAATAATGCTTGGAACTTAAGGAGAGAATATGTTAATATGTTAACATGTCTTTTAATTCACCTTAAAAGACAGAAGAAGAAAGAAAGAAGGACCAGCAGTAAGCCTCAGAAAAGAATCAGATTCAAGTTAACAAGAAAAATTGAAGAAGCATAGAAATTTCTCCTTCTCAGAGCCTGGTTATTGTTGGCAAGCGCCAGTGGTTCTGCAGCAAGGACCTCCCATGATGTCCAACAGAAAAAATAAAAAAAGATGAGACTATGCGGGTGTTTTCATTTTAATTAGGGTTATTTATAGAGCAGAGAATGCTGTGTTTACATGTTGTGCATATTCTTTCTCAATGGTCATCGTCAGCTTTTTTGGTCTTTTCATTACAGAAACAGAGAGGCAACCTACTACTTCTGGTTAGTGCTGATCTGAGAGTTGGTGGGCACATGAGGGAAGATTCCAGAAACCTCTGCTGAGTCAGGTAGCAATTGAGCTGAGTCTTGAAAAGCAAGAGTTCTGAAGTCCTGCCACTTCTGTCCCAAAGAAAATGAAAACTGCTGACATGTCCTGGATGCCCCTGGGAAGGAACTGTCTGATGTTAGCCTGGAGTGTGAACCAGGAATCTCAGGAGACAGGGAGAAGAAATTTCAAGTAAGTCTCCTGTGGAGAAGCTGATGAGTCTGAGAACTGAAAGAAACAACTGAGAGTTAAAGCTACCACATCCATCCCACCACAGCTCCAGGGTTTGGATAGAGGGAAGAAGAGCCCCTGAGTGCTATGCTGTTGACTAAAGAGAGCGCTGGACAAGGAGTCAGTGACCTAAATGCTGGTCCCGGTTCTAAATAGGAGTCCTGGGCAAGTCCCTTTCCTCCTCTGGTCTTCAGATTCTCTTTCTGTAAAATGACAAGGCTTGGAGTCGATGGTCTCTAGGCATCTTTACTGTTCTTGCACTTTATGAATTACAGAGTTCTGCGAGAAGAGATAAGAATTGCCTTGCTCACTACTTCTTCAAAGTATCCTTGGCCAAGGCTTTGGATTTCCCGGGGAAATCTGTGCTCTTTCCCAGCAGCCTATGGAATGGTACCTACTTCTGAAGAAAGGAATAGGAAAAGTTGGTCAATTCTCCCCAACGCCACGTGACATCATGTCTACATAGAAAGATTAACAGATATATTAGATATAGTAAGACGTAAAAACATATGCCACGAATATGCACTCTGGCATGCCTTAGCCTGTTGTTTGACATGAATAATTCTTTGTTCCCCTCCAGAGAAAAGTTCATGTAACTCTGATGGTAAGAAAAGAAACGTATTTATTCAATAAGCAATCACTCAAATTTAAGAGCATAATGGCAAGGTTATGGGTGGAGGGGCAAAAAACAAAAAGAAAGGACTAAGAAGTTGGTGCTGTCTGCCACACACAAAGCCCCAGTGGTCCCCAATTCATTGCTAAGTTCCTTATCCTTCCCACACTTCGATCCTGACTGTCTTGCCCATTAAGCAGCCTCTAAATGCTCCTTGTCTTTGCCTTCGGCAATGGTGAAAAAAAGAAAGAAGGAAGATAGTACATCAGAGGGAAAAGCTCCTGAGAAATTTATGACTATCTAAACAAGAGGTGAAAGGAGAGAGAAAGAAAGAGAGAGATGCCACAGGAAAACATCCCCAGTGTGGAAGGAACCGAAAGGGCAATCTTGTGCTGTACAGACAACCTCAAAGCAGGCTGAACTCTGTGAACAGCCCTTCTCTCGAACTTCCCCGTGCCTCTCTTCCTTCCCCCTCCCATGGTTCTCCCGCAACCTCTCACCCACATCTCCCTATTCTGCTTCCGAGCAGCTATCCTAGAGAGTGGATGGTGTCCTTCCCGTATGCTTACACAGATGTAAACAGTTCTCGCTCACATGCTGACTACAGACAGACCTCATTCGGTCTGCCTCCTTCAATCTCCTCTGAAGATAAAGACAAAAAGAATGATGGGAAACTATTTTTCCAGGGATCCAGCAACCAAAGACCAAATCTGATTTGGAACAAGGCTGAGGAGAGGCAGAAGAAAGGTTAGCAACACTGTGAATTAGCTTATACGAGCCGTGGTATGCACTCTTGCCTGTGGTAAGGAGAGCCCCCAGCGAGTCACTGTATGATTCCTAGGAATTTGGCTTTTGCCAAATGGTTTGCTGCAAGACCTTCCTAACTCTTTTGTGGTTCCTATATGCTGAGAAAGCCATTCTTTAAGAGGAACTGTTACCCATTCCTCAAGTTGTGCAATCATCAATTTGCAAAACCAAAGCCCATTGCTGCTCTGCCAAATTTCATTTGACCCCAAACAATTAAGGGACTAGTGCTGGTCCTTTGCATGGCATTTTGGATCCCAAAAAGACATGAAAAGAAGCACTCATCCTTGATAGATTAGCTGAAACAACCTCGTAGCAATTTTTCAACTCTGCTAGCCCACAGAGCGCTTATAAATCTCTTCTGACACTAGACACAGGCCAGTAATGATATATCTGATAGAAATTGCCCAAAGGAGTTTAGTATCAAAGCTCTGGAATTTGACCCCAATTCAAAAACATCATAGCCTGATTTCCTTTCAGTCCAGCCTAATGTTTTCCTATCTCCTCTTCTTCTAGACAACTTTGAAACAACTGGCCTGAGTTCACAAGCTGGACAAGAAGGTGGCTTGACCACAAGAAGCAAAGAGACTCACCGTAGACATTTAGATACGCCCGTCCCCAAACCAAGGCCCTTCTGCATGTGACCCTAAACCTAAAACCCTCCACAACTTCCTTGTCACAAACGTTCCAAACTGGAGACCTTAGCAGCCCAAGGGGCCGGGGCCGTCTTTACCTTTATCTCTGGGTGGATCAGTACTAGGATAGTTCTCAAATATGTCTGGTTAACGTCTCTGCCTCTAAGATCTCACTTATATTTTCTACACTTTTGATTCTCAGGAAGCTGGGGTTCCATTCATCATCTTTCTAATCCTAAGAGAGAGTTCCATCCATTAGTATACATTCTTCCTTTTTTTTTCTTAGTCTAAGACTTCCTATATTTCTGAATCAGCAGCTGTACATATCTGGCATAAACAAGACTGTCGTTCGTCACTTCCTAGTTTCCTTTTTTCCTCCAGTTTCATTGAGATATAATTGACATATAGCACTGTGTTAGTTTAAGGTTTATAACATAATGATTTATTTTATGTGTATACTGCAAAATGGTTAACACAATAAGTTTAGTGAATATCCGTCACCTCACATGGTTGCAACTTTTGTTTTTCTGAGAGATGGCAGATTCTGCCAATTTTAGCATCACCCCTAATTTTTTCTGCCATTGCTCCAGTAAAGAAAAGCTTGGGAAAATATTGTCAAATCACTGTTGCTAAACCTATGTTAGCAAAAGGATCCACTCCATGATTTAACCTCCTTCGACCCTGTTTCTGTAACACTTCTTTCAGATTCTACCATTTCCCTTAGGAAGGAGTCTTTTATTTCATCTCAATTTTGTTGGGATCCAGATATTTTCAGTCACTAACTTTCTCATTACAGTGTTGGCCACAAAAGTTCCTGATTTGTCCCCTTATCTCCACAGTAGCTTTTTATTTTTTTTATTTATTTAATTATTTTTTGGTGAGGAAGATTGGCCCTGAGCTAACATCTGTGCCAGTCTTCCTCTATTTTGTACGTGGGATGCTGCCACAGCATGGTTTAATGAGCAGTGTGTAGGTCCATGCCCAGGATCCAAACCCACAAACCCCGGGCTGCCAAAGCGGATTAACCACTACACCACCAGGTCACCCCTTCCACAGTAGCTTTTGATCTCTTAATAATGTGGAAACTCGTGAGGTGAAAGGAGGTGGTAATCTGAAGACAATCCCCTGGCTGAAGTTTCTATTGCCTTCTGTTTTCTAAGATGTTCCTGTCTTCTGAGATCCAAGGAGCATAGACCCCAGGGCTCAGCCGGTGATTCAGCCCCTACGCCTCATGTTTGACGAAATTATGGCTGTGCTGAGACATTGCACACTCATTCTTCTTCTTTAAATATTAATAATTAACTATTGCTTAGAAGTGGTCCAGTTCCAACCATTGAAAGATTGTTAGCAAAGTTATTTGAAGGATATGTGAGTCTAAATCAAAAGAGAATGATGATAACATCTTTTCTCACTATGTCAGTCATATCCTACTCCCACTAAGTACTATTATATCAAACACCTCGGGTGAGCACAATGATTTCTAATGCTCAGCTAAGGAATCACTGATTTCAAGAAATATTAGATATATCTACATCAAGCACATTTTAAAAAGTGGGCAGACCACTCAGATTGCAATGAAATATTGTCTGTGGAACATGACAGTCACTCAGGCAAGTTATCTCAAATTTTTTTTTTCATTTAGTCCCTTGTCTGCCGTCCATTGATCCATATGGCTAGATGAAAACCAAAAGGATAGAGGCTCTGCTATGACCTACAAGACCTGATGCAATCTGATACCTATTACATCTCCAACCTACTCTCCTGTCTCTCTCCTGTCTCTCTCCCGTCTCTCTCCCTCTTTATCATTTTTTGATCATGCTGGCCTGAAACATACAATGTTCTTCCCTACCACGCTCCTAGGCAACCTTTAATATGTTGTTCCCTCAACATGGAATGCTCTTCACCTTCTCTAAAATATAACTAACTTCTACACATCCTTCAGATCACAAAGATATCATGTCTTCCAAAAAGGAGCCTTCTCTATTGTCCCCAGACTAATTCATTCGTGGTGAGCATCTGTGCTTTTTGTGCTCCTGTATCCATTCAACCTTCTAATAACAAGCCTATTCCATCCTTTCTGGGGAACTATGCTCATCCTCACTCATAGACCACATGTCTCCTCTGGTAGGGCTCCATGTGGTGCTGGCCCAAGCCAAAGTGATTGGTAAGGAGATGGTAAGTGATGGGTAATCAGACTTTCTTCTGAGAATGCTGCAATAAAGATTCTCACTCTTCCAGTGGGCTTAAAGTTGAGATGTAAGATCTGGAGATACTGTATCTACAACAGCCTTCTCAAAATAGCATCCACACTTTAGAAGCAGAGCTGTGGAACAGAGAAAGAAAAACCAGGCTCAGATGGCTTTGGAACCCAATTGCCAGATATGCTTAAAGATTTCAACTTTTTAATTATGTGAGCAAATAAAATCCTTTTTTTTTTTTGCTCAAGCCAGTTTGATTTGGATTTTCTCTCATTTTCTCGAGAGAAGTCCCTGAGAGCCCTGTGTTTTCTTGCATTTTGGCAGTCATGATGTGGGTAAGCATTTGCTCAATTTCTGTCTTTCGTACTAGACTGGGAATTCTATGAGAGTTGGAACCACATGAGTCTTATTTATTGTTGTTTTCCAGTGTCTAATACAAGGGGAAGCACATAGCAAAATATCAATATTTTTGAATGAACAAAGGAATGAATAATGCATGAATGGAAGATTCTGAGATCCCAATGCTTGTCAGGCTTTTTTGTTCCAAGCCCTGATCTAAAAACTGAGTCTAGTTTCCTGTGCCTAATGTTGAGCTTCACGTTCTGTTGTGAAAAGACCTCCATTAGAGGACATTTCCACCTTCCCTTCACTCCTTCAACCCCCAGAAGAGTACCTTCCCTCCGTATACCTCGGCTATGTAGCTTGGCAGGCTCTTCACTCATACTCCCTCTACCACTGCTCAATTCCTATGAACTCTGCCTTTGTTTGAGGGCAATGAGAGAAGGAAGTGTTCATGCAATGCAGAGACCCCCCAGCAAGCCCACATGACCTCACGCCCAAGCCATATTCTCCAACCACTTTATTGGTCATGAAGACGAGATGGTAATCTTCAGCCTATTGACTCCATAGGCTACCTCTCCGTATCTAAACTGAGGCAAGAAAAACATGGGATGCTATTTATTTTCTCTATGAAGCCCAGCACCCAGTGTATCGGGTTGGAAACTTTCAGAAACAGAAAAGGCCTGGAATTTGGAAAACTAAACAGCACCTTTAAATTAAGGCTCCCAGTAGGGTCTTGATTGCAGGCTTTAGGCCATAGATTTTAGCAACAGTGGGTATTGTGGGGTTTTGACCTTATGCCATGGGGCTGGTTTTTATAGTTGTGTGGTTGGCTTTTAACGAGTGCAGTCTGTGAAGGCAGAGCTGGGCTTCAGGCTTTAGAAGTAAACCATAAGGGATTTTGACCTTTGCAAGTCACTGTAGTTTATGGCAGTTTCTTCTGCAGGTGAGTAGCTTTTCTTAACACCCACAGACCTTAGCAAAATGCCAAACAAATGTGGGAGGCTTAGTAAACATGTGCAAGTTGTGCCAATTCTAGCAAGGATTTGATCAAAGGAAAAAGAGTCGGCTAATACACTCCTTGAGGCCTTGCGGCGGAACAGAGAGGGGCTGGGGCAGCGTCGAGGGACGCTGCGGAACAAACTTGGCTGCTTCAGCGGCATTTCTCAGTCCAGAAAGTAGGTCCAGACTTTGACTTCAGACGTTGCTACCTTGCATTTGTGCTATAGAGCATTATCTTGTGAGATGCTAGCTTTAAATTTTTAAACGAGGAATAGTGAGTCCCAGATCAGCTGCCCACAACTTTGTTCATCTTTTTTGCTATTTTGAAGAGGAAAATGTGGAAGGAATTCATGTAGCTCCTCCACAGGTTGAAGGGTCACCCCAGAGTAAACTTAGTTATGTGCATGACTTAGTTATTCAGAGAAGTTTAGAAGGAGGCTTTAGACTTCAGAGTCCTAAGCTATGGTTTCTCCCAGAGAACAGTAGATGGTTTGATAAACAAAGAAAAAGGAAGGAGAGTATTATTAAAAGATCTTGGAATGATATAGAGAAAAAAAGTCAATAGAATTATTGTAAACCCGAAAGCTAGATGAGAAATTTAAATATCTATATCTAAAATGCTTGATCTCTAGAAATCAAGCCTGCTCAGGAAGTTCAAGAGGAACTGGAATAGTTTGCAAAATCAAACCAAGTTTGAGTCATACAACAGTACAAGGGCAATAAAATATTAAGAAAATTATCCAGAAGCTGGAATAATCAAGGGGTAGGGTGGCGTTTCTCTCAATATCATGCAGAAGCATTGTTTAATAGGACTGCCTGAGGATTCATTCATTTTCTTGGGGAATTTGTTGTTGTTTGACCTGATATTACAATTTAATTAGAGCCCAGACCTTGCAAAGTCTCAGGTTAACTGGCACATCTTTGTCCGGTGGACAAGATAATCCCAAAGGTCAGCTTTATTGCCCTGTAGGACATTAACTGATTTGATATCTATCCTAGCAACCTTATACTAATCTTCCTTTTTTTTATAATGCCTACAAAATATCCAGTTCCTCAAAGCTGTCCTCTTTAAGCCAGCTTTACCATCTTACCGCTTCCTTCAATAATGAAAAATTATGAATAATGTTGAAGAAGTAGTTCTCTATTTAAATGATAGTCATGTTTCTGAATTTTTGAAAATTATTCTTTAACAGTTTTGGCGGTTGCACGGAGATGCTCACAGAGCCAATTACACCGTATTGTCTAAAAGTCCATTTCATGGATTAAGTCCAAGAATGTCTTTTCTTGGTTCCTGGAGTGATTCTCAAGTGGCACTACAACTTAACCTGTCCTGACTCTTTTCTGGCCTTTTTCTCCTGATTTGTGTTATTGTTTTTGTTTCTATACTTACAAGTTCATTTCTGGGTCTGATTTATACAATGGCTGATGAGTTATTCTTCACAGATGGCAGCAGTGTTTGGGAATCTATAGTTATGCGTCACTTAATGACAGGGATACGTTCTGAGAAATGCACCCTTAGGTGATTTCCTAATCTTGTTGTTGTGCGATCATCATAGCATATTTCCACAAATCTAGATAATACAGCCTACTACACATCTAGGCTATACAGTACCAACCATATCGGACCACCATCATATGCGTGGTCTGTCGTTGATCGAAATGTCATTATGTGGCACATGACTATAGTTTTATCAACTGACCATTTGGTGATCTCTCTGGGAAGTTGGGGATGTATTCTAAGGTGAGAAACAACAGAGAATCTGGTTTATTCATTTTTGTTTGTCTTTCTGTCTACTTATAAGCTCAAATAAATATTATATGTCCTCTGAGAAAGAGAATAAATCTTTGAGATCTCGTCTGGCGAGTTTTTGTGTTTACTTTGACCCATGGCTGAAGTTGTAAAAGTAAAGCCAGGGTCTCCCTGTGTATTTAAAAGTGAGGGAAGTCTTTACCTCTCAGTGTGTGAATGTGAAATATTTTTCTACCCGTGGAGTGTATTAAGAAATTAGACCAGAAAGTATTTTAAATTAAAGGAGTGGTGTTTTAATTAGTTTAGAGTGAATAATAAGTGCCTACATACATCTAATATTTTCCCAGAATTCAGAATAGTTTCCCAGAAAATAAAGAAACTGAACATCTAATATTTTAAATATATTTTTAAGAGAATAAAAAGTATTTTCCACAGCAGCTGCTAGCCCAGAAGTATTTTTATATAAAAATCCAAGTGTATGTAATTAAGGTGAATCCATACTGGTTTGGTCATTTTCTTTGAAAATAGACATATTTTCAAACCTTGATTTTATTAGTGTTAAGTATTATATAAGCCTATACTTTATAAGATCTGAGTTGTTGTCTCATGAAGAGACTAATTATTCTGAACTTCCTAAATTTCTTATGTTGGTTTACTAATCAGATTAGCTAATCTTACTCCTACGTCATCACTGTGATTGTGAAAATTGTAACACTGTGTGTTCCACTAAATTAAAATATAGTTTCAAAAAAGTTTTAACATATTCTATAATGCTTCAGCTTAAAAATAACTTCCAAGATTCTTAGTTAACTTTAACTAAGACTGATATTAAATTAATTAATGGCTAATCTTTGTACACCTGGATAATTTCTAAGTAAAATAGAATATTAAAACATTGGTCATAATAAATATCATAATTTATATACTTTCATTTCTTATTTTTATGTTATGGAGTGACTATACCTTTGCGCTACGTTAATGAATATATTCACTTCTGCCACTTTAGAAAGGTGTAAAATAAACGTGTGTGACCATAGCTAGTTGTACTATGTATATCACCTCCTTGCAAGGCTGCTAAAATGCTTACGAATGGACAGGTAGTTATCAATCACCATCTCTCAGGTTTTTCCTATGAAAGTAGAAGTTATTTAATTTAGTTATGAGTTAAAGTAATATGGGTGATTAATACTATACCAGCAGAGACGGTGGCAGGCAAATACAACTGTGTTTGCATAGTGATGGAATGTGTTTTTGTTTACCAAGGTAAACATGAGAATGAGCCAGCAGGCTGGAGAGCCAGGGAAGAACTGACACTGCAGTTCAAGCTTGAAGGCCATTTGCCAGCAGAATTCCCTCTTGCTCCAGAGAGATCAGCCTTTTTTTCTATCCAATCCTTCAACTGATTGGATGCAGTGCCCTCACATTATGGACAGCAATCTGCTTTACTCAAAATCTACCAATTTAAATGTTAATCTCATGCAGAAACTCCCCCACCGAAATATCCAGAATAATGTTTGACCAATTATCTGGGCACCTTGGTCCAGCCAAACTTAACACATAAAATTAATCATCACAGTCTTGTTTCTCAGGCGCCCATGATGCTATCTTAATCAAGCCACCAAATCTGCTTTAAGAACTCTTTTGAATTTATTTCCCTAAGATCATATCCCAAATTGGAGAAAAAAATTACAATTTATCTTATAGCTGAAACTGTTTTTGAAACTTTCAAAGAAGCCCTGGACAAGCACAAAGATTTCTTCTTTCACCTTCTATAAAGACTATGCTAGAAACGATTAGGTATACTTGGTATGCCCTGTACTTCTTAATTAGGTCCGTGATGTTCCCAGACCTGCATGGGAAGAGTTGCTAAATCAAAGGATAATTTTATGTAGGTAAAATGTCATTATTATAAATGTTTCAGAGATTGTACACTGTATGAGTTGGAAGTACCTGGAGATTATTAATTCTTCATTCTCTATAATATGTTCTTATGCTCAGGAGAAACATTTGTCAAACCTTTACGAAATAGTTATGTATTGTCCCCCAGTAGAGAATTTCGTGCTCCTCCATTTGGATATTATTGATGACTGTCATAAATTAATGACACAAGCTATGGTTAATTTAATTTCATCCACAAATATTTTCTGCTTTCCTCTGATGCTTAACTGAAGGCCCACAGCCTTTGTCTTCAAGAAAGGTTCTCAGAACCTCATGCAAAGAACTCTACCAAGTACTTTTAACTACTGATATTTCTCAGAGCAGAAATCCACAGATACGGCCTTCAGAGCTTAAAGCTGACAATGATTAGCTAATTATCCCATGGTACTAGGGGACTAAGGAAGGATTTCCAGGAGTCCTTTTAGGTCAAAAGCAGATGAATTTCAAGAACGCAGAACTGTTATCCAAAATCCAGCAGCACAAGAAGCTAATTTCATGGATGGAATAAACTGATAAGGGATATTTAGTTGTGGTTATCTTTTTGCAGATTATTTCTCTCTTAATGTTCAATATTCTGATGGAAGTAATGCGGAAGACCTTTCCTTTCCCTTCGTAATCTGTCTCAAACTTCCAATTTAGTAAACTATGCTTTTGCAAACTAAAATCAAACATGTAAACAGTGTCTGATTCTCAGCGACCACTCAGAATTCAGAAACATGCTGAGGCTTTGCGGGCCACATGGTCTCTGTTGTAACCCTCAATTGAGATGAATATATCTAAATAAATATAGCACTGAGTGTATCTAAACACTAAGGCAGCCATGGGTTATGTGCAAATGAATGAACGCGGCTGTGTTCCAATAACGCTTTGTTTACAAAAACAGACGATGGGCCTGATTTGACCCAGGGGGCCGTAATTTGTCAACCACCTGATCTCAAACACCCTGAAGTTTCTCTATTTGCTGCCCTTGGACCTTGACTATTCCAGTGCCAACTGAATTTCTAAGTCGAAAGTGTATCAGGCACGAGCTTGCTTTGCTGAATCTTTTTCAGGGCTTTTGGATGGGTGAGGCTTCTCCTCCACCTCTGTCTAAATGGATGTTTTGTCTCCAACATAGTAGAGGTTGATAAGTACTAGCCATCTTCCACCCAAGTTGGAATTAATTAAGAGAGAAAGACAGGAGTTAGACAGGTGGGAATCAAAACGTTGGTTTTATTAAAGTTAAAATCTATTTTGGAGAATGCAGCTAAGGTCTGTAGCCAAGCGGGCATACTAATAATTCTTTCCGAATTAGGCAAATTTCTTACCCAATCACAAGCACATCTGGATGCAGCCTTCTCCATGTGGACCCACCCCTGTAAAAGAAAGCAAGTAGCAAGGATATATACACTGTGCAGGAATATCTCAGGAGAGGTGGAAAGAGGGGGCTGAACAATGCATGCCCAGGTTTCTCTCCCAAATTCTCAATCAGAAAAATAATTCCTCCTTCTCTGGGGAGGTTTGAGTTAGGGGATCCAGAGGCCAGGGGTATTTCTATGCCAGAAGTTTATCCATGATGAAATATAAACCACAGAAAAAGAAGAAATGGTTTCTCCCAATTCCTAATAACCTTTGCTCCTTTCCCTCTCCTGATCAAAATGTCCAATGACCCCTCTTTCCTTAGAGCACCAATTCTGATGTCTTAGTCTGGTATCAAAGATGCTTGCTACCTGGCTCGAAACCACCATTGTAACCTTATTATCAGCTACTACCTAGTATGACTCTGCCAGATGAATCTACTCATAGTCTCCAGAAGATGACATTCATATTCCTGCCTCCTTTCTTTTCCCACGCCATTTCTTCCCCCTGGAATGCCCTCCCTAAATTTCTTACTTGATTCATATCTATCCCTTTGGCCTGTGCCAGCCTCTGTGAAAACTTCTTGTCACTCTAGTTCTTGACGACCTCTTCACTCTCGAACTCCTAAAGCCCCTAGTGTCTGTCCCCGTCATCAGGCATTTGCAGTTTGTGTTGTCAGTAAATTTTGCACAATTATATTCTATCTCCAAATTTAGATTTTCAGTTCCTTGAAGATCAGAAACATTTAATAAAATTCTTTGTATTCTCAAAATAACTGGGATCGTGATTTCACATAAGATAGTTGTTCAGATGTTTGCCCTTAAAAATGATGTGTTAAATGCTTACAAATTTATAACAACCAGGATTCGTCACTAGACCAAACTAATTAAGGAAGACTCACTTTATTCAGAATGAGTCTGCAGGCAATTCCACTTGTTTCCGTGCTGCTTTTGACCCAGAACCATGATGGGTTTTCAGCGGAGATGTTCCCAGTACTGTGGAAAGGTAGCCTCACTGGTCTTCCTGGCTGCATCCTTCCTGTGACTGGCTCAGAGAGGAAAGTTGTTTGCTGCCAGAGATAGAAGTAAAGTATTTAGATTCTTTCTTTCTCCTTCCAGAAAGTCTACTGAATCATCTTTTTCAATAATACCAAAGTAATTTGGAAGTATTAGAACACGCATGGATAGCTGTCTTTTCAAATAACACTGTTCTATAAAACATTAACGTTAATAGTCAAAGCAATTTTCTTTTACATCAGTGCCTCAGGGCAGATCTGGCTCCACGCTGGTAAAAGAGCCTTAGAAATCTGAAGGGAACTTTAGGTTGTCACAGTATTGGGTGGGGATGCTACTGCCATTTGGTGTGCACTGGCCAGGAATGCTAGACATCCTCCAATGCACAGGACATTTCCACGCAATGAAAAATTACTCCACATTCCACAAGGTTTTTCAAAGATCCCTCCAGACATTCATGTGGGTGAAAACCTCTGTATAATTATCTGAGACTAATATTTAAGTACACTTACATATAAACACATAGGACCTAATTTCTGTACGGTTTTAAAACACGGTTTTGTGTAGTTTGAATTTTCCACAAATGCAACTGCTATGTAAATTGAGGGAAGATGGCTATTTGTGCTGCATGGAAATTTAACAAGCTTCATTAATCATTCTGAAAAGTCATATTGCCAATGGCAGTACCACTTAGAGCATTTGAATACTCATTGCAACACACTCAGCAGATATAGAACTGTCATCTCAAATATTTCCTCTAGAAAGCATTTTCCAGAAACCTCTTTTTTCCAGATACATTCAACCCACTTCTTTACCCTGCTCTCATCAACACTAAAAACATCTTCAATTCACTCATTAACTTGGGCTACAATTTTTGTTTATACATTCATGCCCCAGATTTTAAAGTGTGAACACCTTAAGATCAAAGCCTATGCCTTATTCATTCCTATATCTTTAAAATCTTGCACAGTAGCCAATATACAGAAGGCACTTTATGAATGTGTAGTGAATACATTCATTCATTCTTACATTTGTTTTATAATAAATATTTATTTAGTATTTACTAAGTGCAAAACAGTGCTAGATGACAGGAAAATTTCAGGAAGGAAATCAGATATGGTCTCTGATTTCATAGACCTTAAACTCTAATCAGAGACAGAAAAAAGACTTAATTACACAATTTTTAGCTGTGATAGAATTGTCATAAATGCTACAGTTGACAAGTACAAGGTGTTATGAGAGTGGGTAAACGGGAGAGGCAGATATAGGCTGAAAGAGAAGAAAGAAGTGGGATTGAAGTGTATTAGCTCTCTGTTGTTGCCTGCCAAATCGACCCAAAGCTTAGTGGCTTAAGACAATCACCATTTATTATTGCCCACAAATCTGTGGATCAATTGAAAGGTTCTGTTGATCTGGCCCAGGCTCTGATCTCAGCTGAGCTTCCCCGTGAGTTTGTGATCAGTTCCAGGTCAGCTGGGCTTCGCTGGTCTGGGATGGCCTCAGCTAGGATCCTCCAGGAGGCCAGACCAGGCTTGCTCACATGGTGATGGTAGGGTTCCAAGAGAGCAAGCAGAAGGCCGACGCAAAGCCTGCTGAGGCTCAGGCTCGGAACGGGCACAACATCCCTTCTGCTGCATTCTATTGACCAAAACAAGTCATAGACCAGCTCAGCTTTAAGGGTGGGAAAAGAGACTCTACCCCAGATGGCAAGAGCTGCAAAGTCACACGGCAAAAAGTGCAGATAGAGGAGGGGTGGAGAAATGTGGCCATTTTTGTAATCCACTGCACCAAGTTAAGACCTAAAGAATAAGTAGGAGTCAACCCGACAAACAGGAAAGCAAATTGTGGTCAGTGTGTATAGACCTGGAAGCAGGAAGAAGCATGGAACATTCCAGGAAGTCAAAAAAGCCAGAGTGGCAGCATGCTGAGAATGAGAGGATGAGTAAAAGGAGGTTGGTGAGGAGGGAGGGGCTGGATGTGGCAGAATCATACAGTGTAGCCATGTGAAGAATTTGGGCCTTTCTCTGCGAAAATGCTTTAAGTGGGAGCGGGACATGATCAGAGTTTATACATATATATGATTATGTCTATGTATGTGTGTGTGTATATATATATATATATATATATGTATATATCTTATCTTATGCCTGGGCCCATCTCTGACAAGTTAAATTAGTATCTTTGGGACTAGACACCTGTAGCAGTGAAATTTTCCCCAGTGATACCAATGTCCATCCAAGGTTGAAACTCTCTGTATCAGAGAGAGGCAAGACTCAGGAAGGTACTGTCACCTGTTGTCCAGCTGAGAGATGAATTAGTGTGCTTACTTAGTGAATGGATGAATGAATGAACGAGTGAATGAATGAAAGAAATTAAATCTCAAGTCAGAGGTTTAGGATCTACAGTAAAACTGCCTTGTTTCCAACCCCAGCTCCACCTCATACCAGCTGGGTGACCTTGGGCAGCTTCTCACTCTCTCTGAGCCTCGGAATCTTCATTTCCAAAATGAGGACAGCAATAATACCTACCTCTGCAGTGTGTTATGAGAACTAATGAGGTAATCCTCCTGGAGCATTGAACGCCAGGCCAGACAAATGATAGGCACTCAGTCAACGTTAGCTCATGTGACTAGCACTGTCAAAAGGAAGGGTCTGCAACAGTACCTTGTCTCAGGCCGCAACAGCTCTATCCTCATTCTATCCCAAAGGAAACTCTTCTCATCACAGCTACGCTTCCAGCCCTGATTCTGCTCATGTGGTTGCGATTAAGCCAAAGCCTGAGCTGGGACCAGATAGTGTCCGTTTCTGCTTGGCTTCCCGTCGCTCCTCCGGCTGCTCCTCCCGGCTCTGTCTAATGCTCTATCATCTGGCTTCAACTTATCTGGGGGAGGACAGGGAGAAGCCAGACAGCCGTGAATCTTGCTGTCTGCCTGCGAATGTTCGCCGTCTAGGGAGGACCGAGGGGAGCTCCTGTCAGGGGAAACGTATAGCTCGGTAGCAGAGGCGGCTGCCCTTTGGCTGTCCAGAGCCGGGGTCAGCAAAAAGCCTTCCGGAGACGCAGGCCCAGCTGGGGCCTGGCTTTGCTGCAAACTCCTGTGCGACTCAAAGGTGAGAAACCAAGGGGAACGGAGGGCGTCGGAGCCGAGCCAGAGCGTTTCTGCGTGTGGGGAGCAGGGACTGGGGCGGAACTCGGGTCGCAAGAAAGAGGTGATCTTTCGTTCTATTTTAAGGAGGGCTAGAAAAAACACTAAGACATCAGAATGGCAATGACGATTGTCTCCGAGTGGTAAGATTAGAGATGTTTTAATTTTCATCACCTTTCTCTGCATGTTCTCATTTTTTGTCAATAACCTTATATTTTAATAATCCTAAAAAAGTGGAAATATAAAAATCAAATGTTACATTTGTCAGTAGTTTACCCCACATTCATAGTGAATTAATAAATTGCTTGTCAGAATTCGACAGTGCAGTTCTGAAAAGGAGAAAAAAATGTTTCACTTAGAACCAATCCCAATTTCCTCCACTTGGGTGTGTTAGGTAAATGTGTGACCCCAACCAAGCAGACCCACAATCTCTCCTGCCTTTCTCCTCAGGCCTCCTCTCCATCACCTCCTGCCACTTAAGATTTCCCTCGCCACTTAAGAATTGAAAGCAGACTCTTCTTAGTAATGTAACCTTGGCTGGGTTACTCAACTTGAGCTCATAGTCCGTAAAATGAAGACAAAAATAGTATCTGTATCAATGGGATTTTTGTGAAAATTAAGTGAGATATAAAGTACTTAGCATAGTGTCTGGCATATGGTGACGTCTGAAGAAATGTTATCATCGTTAGTCCAGGCTCTCTAGCTACAACACACTTGATGTTCACGGTAATTTCTGGGCTCTGGTCCTTTGCCTGATATGAAATATAAACAGGAAATAAAAAGGAAGTCAAATAATAAAAACAGATCACGGTTTTTATTATGCCAGCATGTGCCTCGTTGGAATTGCCTAGGTGGTGTTGGCAAACACCAAGTGTTCTTTGAGGAATGTGAGTAAAGAGGACACTGCCCCTAATATCTTCCCTCCTGATACGGGGCCTCTGCCTGAAATTGGTGGTGGAGGAGAGCGGAGTTTTGAAGACAGACCTTGCTCTGCATCCTCTCTCCTGTCTACGGCTGTGGGACTCGGGCAAGCTGCTCTGAGGTTTCTCATCTCTCATTGGGGTAACCACACCTCCCTTGGAGAGCTGGGGTGCAGAAACAAATCCATGACATCATCCTGCACGTGCCCAAGAACCACCAGCGGGAGGGCTCACTCCCTCGCTTCTTTCAGGCTCTGATCACTTATTGGAAGGTTTCTCTAAGCACCCAGTATGAAGCAGAGGCTCTCCCCACCTCCACACCTGCACGCTGGCTCTCCCTGACATCACCTCTGCTTGACTTTTCTCTGTGCTCTTATCTCCACCTGACATTGTACATGTATTTATTTGTCTGTCTCCTCTCGGAATCTAAGGGGCCACGAGGAGAGCGTGGTTGCATACTATATTCACTGCTTTACTAATACCTGGCATGTAGTAGGTGTTACATAGGTATTTGTTAAATGAATAAGTAAGTAAATGACTGGGTTAATTAACTGCTGTTTCAAGGGAGAGCAGAGTCCTTGACAAAGGAGGATAGATGAATGCCACAGCTTGATGGGAAAGAAGTCCCAAGGTTGGTCTCAGTCAATTAATTACTCACTGATATGACACTGGGCTAATAAATTGTTCTCAGAGCCTCAGTTTCCCCATCTCTAAAATGGGGACAATACCATGCTTACCTCAAACAGCTAGTTTGAGGACAAATTTCAGTTGTGGAAAAAAATGTGCTTTGAACACTATAAATCACCTTCAAAAAAACAAATGTTGGTATCATTTTTTTAAGTAGCAAAGCAGTTCATTTTCTGGGTGACACACTTCTAGAAAAATGTTCCAGTTGGAATGGGACAAAGGAGAAGGCTTCATCTGGGATCAACACCTGATTTAAACCTTGCTGCTTCTACCTTACCCACCAGACACTGCCTCACGAGCTGGGCCCAGCCTCAGCTACACAAGGGTGCGGAGAGGAGAAGCCTCCAGTCCACCCTCGCAGGCACCCCGCCTTTGGCACATCAGCCCTGGAGCCGGCCCAGGCTTAGTAATGGGATCCAGAGCTGGTCACTGGGCAAAGAGGAGTTTGCGTCAGGAGCTGTCGCTTTCTGGTGGTTGCCTGGTGACCCTAATGGAAAATGAGCTGTGGCAGACCGTACCACAGAAACCACTCCCTCAACTGGCGGGCTCCTCGGAAAGCCCAAGGGCCACGGGAGGGGGAGGGGGCTGCCTCCTGAAGAGCTGTTACTGTGGTGTCTCTGTGTAGGTGGTGGCAGGGACAGGCAGGGAAGTGCCGAGCCCAAGGGGAGCTTGGGCCATGGTGTGGCTCTCCTCTCAGCAGGAGTGGTTGCTCATAAAGGAAGGGTGGGCCCAGCACAGTCACTAATGCTGGTCCCAGGCCCAATCCCAGGTAAAAGCACACACACGCAGAAAAATCCCATAAATGGTTGACACCCCACAGCTCCAAAAACACACAAGGATGTGTTCTAGAGTGTTCATGATGTGCTCATCCAGACTCATGGCATTGATCATCACGGTCACACTGTGTGGAGTGACTGCCCAGGAGAAGCAGCACTCCGGGACAGGAGGAGGCTTGCTGTCTGTGGCGCCTACAGGAAAGGACACCAAGAGGAGAGTACGACACTGGTGGGTCACAAGAATATATGGCGAGCTCCACCAGTGGGAAAATAAATTACACTGTACGTTTAAAAGAGATTGGGCCCCAGAGCCAAGCCTGCTGAAATGACAACTTATCAAAAGTGTGCAGAGGCCCTACTGTGTGCTCGACACTCTTATGGTCTTTCCCATCCTTGTCTCACTTAATCCCAAGGTTATTATAAGAATTGTTGTACGTACTAAAAGACTTGTTTTAAAGATGAAGAAACTGAGGCTCAGAGAGATTGAACAATTTGTCTGAGGTCACACAGCTACCCAGTTAACAGAGTCAGGATTTAATCCTTGCTTTTCTGATTTTAAGTCTAACATCCTTCCTCCAACGTCCCACCACCACCCCCTGGAGAAAGTTCTTCCCGCCACTACACCAACTCTCTTTCCCTAGTCCATTCCCCTTTGCCTAGCTTTGGCAAGTAGTGCTCCCCACTCCAACGCTAACTTATTACAACCTGAATGAATCGAGAACTAATTTCATTGATTTATTCACTCATTTAGCTCCCATCCATCCAACGACTATGTGTTGAGCAGGTACAGAATTTCCTGCATCACACTAGGTGCTGGGGATGCCACAGCAAGCTTAGAGATGCGCTCCTGATCCACGAGGAGCATAGAGCTATCTATTTATGCCCTGAAAAGACAGTTTGCAGAATTACAAAGCAGCTTAGCAAATAAGACACTGCAAATAGCCCTCTCCACACAGTGCTCCCCATTACGACTCCTGCTATATTTAGAAAGAAATATAAGCTTCATTATATTTCATTCTCCTCTATTGAAATAACTGCCTAAGCAGCCTGTCAGTGATCTTCCCAATCATGCTAGTGATTAGTGTCTGTCCAATGAGAAGGTTATGAGGTTATGAAAAATAACAAGCAATATTGTCTTGATTCATACTTTGGTTTTAGGATTGAAAAAGATTTTGCTGAAAAGATGTCAATGGATTTGTTACCAGCACTTACATAATGGCCTCAGCGCAGTGAGGAACGGCCGAGGCCACAGCTGAGATCAATCCCATTCATGAGTGCATGAGTCAGGGAGACCCTGCCAGCAGTTCAACCCTCCCTGTCTGCCTCCGGGCCTCCGAGTTTGGAGCAATCCTCAGGTTTCTGGGCGCTTCAGTTCATTTGTACTTGGCTGAAGACAGTTTCCTGTTTCTAAGAAAAGACTGCTCGGATGTCTTACGAGGTCCTTGGACAGCGAGTCCTCCTGGCCCAGGCATGACCAAGAACAGGGGAAGGGAAGCTGTGCAGGGACGGTTCGTTCTCATTAACCCCCTCCAGCCCGCAGGGGTCCTGGGACTCATAGAATGAGGCTATTACAAATATTTGTCAGGGTGGACAAAGAACGAAGAGAAGTTTATGGCCGGGCCAAATACGCCTGAGTTATTCAAAGAACATCTGGCCTGGCTAAGCCTAAACCGAAAGATGCGACACGACAAAGAGCACAGAAAGGGGCATGTGTGTACAACACCTTCCAGCGCCGGCCTGGAACCTGCCCTCTCCGTCTCCTGCTCCAGCCCCGTCTCCTCCTTCCAACTCAGTAGTCCTACAGATCACTTTTCCAAGGATATCACATGCTGTTACCATGGAGGCAACTGTTTTGGCAAAACAGAACCGTCCAATCTTCACCCCATGACTTGCAACCTGAGGCAGAATCTGGAGGGAAGCCATCCAGTGACCACAGGCCTCAGTGGAGCGCTCTGGGTACAAACACAAACAGAACGGCTGGGACACACTGTGGTGGGAATGGAGACCCTGTGACGGAGACGGGAAAACCCACGGGAGGGAGGAGCAGAGCCTCCTGCTGCAGTGCGGCCAGGCCATCTAGACTGCGATGGGAACAACAGCGGCCTGGCCTCTCCCACCACCAGCTCCAGCCCCACCCCAATTGGACTCTTCTCCCATCTCATCCGGCTCCCTCCATCCATGGTTAGCCACAATGAAGGGCATTACTTGCAGTGGTCTACAAAGGCTGCGATGGGAGGGACAGTACACTGAAGCTTTATGAACACAGGCTTTGGAAGCAGAGCCCCTGGGTTCAAACCCTGGCTCCGCCACTCACTAGCAGCATGGCCCCACAAAAGCCATTCAGGCTCCCTAACGCCTGTTTCCCAATCTAGATAGTAACACATCAGCCCTCATGAGCTGTTATGATCATCAGTTGAGAGAATTAGGTAGTGTCCTGCTAAGGATCTCCCAATTTCCTCTCTCACCTCCTTCTAATTCCTATCAACAAAGAGCCAGAGCGATTGTTGAAATACAAATCAGATCACCTCGCTTCCCTTCTGAAGCTTTCCAATGGCTTCCACCAGGAATGAGATTCTTACCATAGCCAACCCACTCACAGCCCCGTAAAGCTGCCTCATGCCCCAGGCCCACTCACAGATCTACTCCAACTACCCCCGCCCTCCTGCTGGTCCTCAAGTTTGCTTTTGCCTCACCGCCTTCACACGTGCTCTTCTCCCCGAGCCTCTCACACGGGCAGCTCCCGCACCTCTTCCAAGTCTCGGCGCAGAAGGTGCCTCCTCAGAAGGCAGCCATCGACATCAAGCTGCTGTGCTCCCCACCCCCAGAGACCCTCTGTCCCACTGTCTGTATTATTGACTTCACAGTATTCACTGATGTCTGAAATTATCTTAGTACTTTCCTATGATTGCTCACTGTCTGTCTCCCCCAGGAGAAAGGAAGCCCCAGGAAAGCAAGGACCTTGTTTTCAACAGTACTGCCACCTCCCAGAACAGTGCCTGGCACACAGTAGGCACTGAATAAGTATTTGTTTTATTAAATTAAAAATATTTAAAGTAGTGTCTGTTAAATAAATATTAAATGCTTCTGTTATTAACTGCTAACATAATGAAGATTTATCATTAACTAATAACATACTGGCTGTTTGGGTAGTAATAAAAATCACCTCCTACATGGGAATGGTCCATTATGGATTTATGGGATGTTTAACGTCCATACCCTCTTTGAGTCTTATGGCTAGCCAACAGAATGGCCAGCATTATTTTTCCTCAAGATGTGTCTTGAGGAGACTTGGCAACTTGCTAGACTCAAAGCCAGACCTTCAGACTCCAAGAAAGAGGCTTTTTCAACCACCTGTAAGGCTGGCCTTCAGATAATACGTCTCACATCAGGAAAACATCATGCCACGCTCTTCAGGAGGCCCAGGCAGAGTGAGGCAAGCAGGCAAGTCCAGGCCTGGGGCAGGCAGTGGCGGGAGGACCCTCTGGCCACCTTCAAAGCTTGGGTTCCCTCCACCTCTAAGAAGAACCCTTCCTGACTAGTGTCATCTTGGCTGACACAGCTTCAGTGCTCAGCGTCTGAGGCAGATTCCCTCCAACTCAGCAGCTTCCTCCCAGCCACAGATCCCTCCACCTCCTGGCCCTTGTCTGTCTAAGGCAGTTAGAAGATATGCAAATCAGACGCCTGGGAGAGCCTCCTGAGGGTTCTGGGGGCCCCAAGAATGCAGAGCTTGCCTAAAGGTCACAGCTGCGGGAAGAGGGTTTGGAACCCACTCACCCACTCGCTTCCTTCTCTTCCCTCCAAAATGTCAACAGGGGTTTCCCCCTTCAAGTGTGGAGCATTGAGGCCAAAGGAACAGAGGAGGCCCCAGGACTGTAGCCTTTGTGCAGACTGAGGAAAGGGGACATTCCCTTCACCAAAGTGTGGGATTTGTTCATAAGAATAATCAAAATGAAAAGGTAATGGCAGGTCCCTGGACAGGATTGGCCACCTATGCAGGGCCCCACTGGGCTCTAGGACATTGTTGAAGGATCTAGTTCGCTCTGACTGAGCTGGTTGGCCCTAGGACATTCTCCTTGGTTGGCCCAGACCTGGGGACATTTATCACTGTTGTCTGTCACACTTGGCCTTCTCATTCTTTCCGTTATTGCCTCAAAGTGGGAGGAGAGGGGGCCTGCCCCATGGCTGAGTGGTTAAGTTCGGATGCTCAGCTTCAGCAGCCGGGGGTTTCGCCAGTTCTGATCCTGGGCGCGGACATAGCAGGCGCATCAAGCCATGCTGAGGCAGCATCCCACATGCCACAACTAGAAGGACCCACAACTAGAGTATACAACTATGTACTGGGCGGGGGGGCGGGCGGCGCTTTGGGGAGAAGAAAAAATAAAGAAGATTGGCAACAGTTGTTAGCTCAGGTGCAAATCTTTAAAAAACGAAAAAAAGTGGGAGGAGAAACCTGGAGGGCTAGAATCATCTGTCCTCTTCTCACCTTTCCTTTGGATTTGCTCAAGGACAGCTGTATCCTGACATTTCCAGTAATAGTAATACTCCTTTACACATTTTCAGTAGGCAACAACAACCGAGTTCACCCTCTCCCATTCCCACCCACATCCAGCCACTGAGGTGGAATTAACACGAGTACCAGAACTACAGATTTTGCCAGTAGTTATTCCCGGGAAGACAGAAGACCAAAGGTACTGAGGATCTGAGTCCCCAGGACCCGGCCTCTTAGTATCCACATATCCTTGTGTTTACTAGTTAGGGGGCGAGGATTTTGTGGAGGTTCTGGGCTAAATGTTGACTGACATCTCAGAGCTCTCAGCTTCCGGAGAAGCAGCAAACCCAGCTGGGGTGAGTAGGGACTCTGCAGTCAATCAGCCTGAGTACAAATAAGCTGGCCACTCATTAGTGTGAGTTTGGGCTGGTTGTTTAACCTCTCTCCCCATACCTCAGCTTTCTCATCTGCCAAACGGCAGATAAGAGTGCTTTCCTCCTAGCATCGCTGTGACAATTAAACAACACCATTTATGCCGAGTGATGGGCAGAGTGCCTGGCGCAGAGCAAGGACTCAACAAGTGTTAGATGTTGGTGTTGTTACTATTATTATTCAGTCTGGGCTGTGTACACTGCTGGACTCAAACATGTTTGCACATTTCCATCAAATTCATAGTTGAGAACATCCAAAACTTTTATTTTTATTAGCCCTGTGGGGTCTCCCGGAGAGAACTCATTTGGAGCTAGATATAGGTATGGTGAATTGTCCAAGTAGCAAAGCTTTAGTCAAACAAAGCTGTGGGGAGATTCCCAGATGCTCCTGTGAATGGAATCGAGGCCCCTCAAACAGGACCCCGAAACTTTGCTTATAGCAGGGACGTGGAGTTATCTGTTCAGTTCAAATATTCAAACTCTCTCCCCATGGCCCTCAGGCTCTGATAGTAGTCATTTACCTCTTAGTATGAATTCCTCCAGACTATTATCTCTCCCTCACAGTAGAAGCATTGAAAAATTTATTCTCAGGGTTAAATGGAAGTCTATAGCAAATGCTGTGGAAAGCAAGAGGTTTTTCCTTGGAATCCTAAAAACTAAATTGGAAAGGCACTTGTGCAATGGGAACCTTTAGTCCTAGGTTGTCAGGAATGGTTTAATTTCAAACAATATCATCTGTTATTCTCATAAACATTCAACATTTTCTGGAAACTAAATTTCCCAGGCTTTTTCTCACACTTGGATGTGGTACAGAAATCCTTTTTTATACCATACGAGTCTCAAATGTAGTCTGTTGAAGTGGGCCAATTCGTTAACGGAAAGAAGCCTAGACTGAGAATCAGTTCCACTGTCACTCTAGGACGTTGGTGGGCTGAGAAGTGGAGGAGACCACTGACAATACCCAGAACCAAGCACTGTACCATAGGGGCCCCTTCGAGCTCATTTCCAGGCCTTCGGAAAGAAGTGCCAATGCTGGAAGTTCCAGGAAACACCACCCCCCAAGAATAATGGAGCTCATGATAGAGAATTATTACTAATACCATCCCTTGAGAATCTCAGAGCAAAATCTAGTCATTCCTAATACACCACCACTTGAATTTTAAAGGGTGATGAAACAAAGACCTGGACGCTAATGATGTATGAAGTCTCAGTGTCTATGAGAGAGCTCAGGCTGGAATTCTATTGTCCTAAAAGTTTCATCCAGGATTTTCTTAGCCTGTGGACCCGTGTGCCTTAACCTGGCTCTCACCAAATGTCAACATGAACTAGCTTAATTAAGTAGAAAGGAGCTTAAATTTAAAAGGCAACACTTATAGAGAAACTAAGTTTCACCACAGCCCTACAGAGATTCCAGAAGATGGCACTTCCTATTACTTAATTTTTACAGCCTCACCATCTCCGCGGCCTCGCTCTGCTCCAGTTTGGCCTCTACTCCCGAGTCACTTGGGCGCGTTCTCCCTGCTCCTGTTTCCTTTCTGTGAAGTCTGTGGGTGGCAAGCATGGAGCAGCAGCCTTGGTGCAGACCTGGCCGCTGCAGAGACTCTCTCATGGAGGAACACCCTTGTCCTTAACAAGATGGGGCAGGTGAGTGTGGGCATGGCTGTCATGGCTCAGCCACTTAGAGGCTTTGACTTTCTGACTTCTGCCGAGAGCTGTAAGGAAGGGTCTGAGGCATCACTTGGAATCACACACACACACACACACACCCACACCCATACCCTCACTCCCCACTCATTGTACAGAGGAGAAATAGGACACAGAGATATCCCAGGCCAGGCTTTCTTTACCAGCCCTCACCAGCCTCCAGTAGATTTGGCCCTTTCCAGTGAAAAATGAGCCCTAAAGCCCCGGAGCCTTCTCGGTGATTTACCGAGAACTGCACTTCCACATGGCTTTCCGGTTGCAGCCAACCCCA